ATACTGCGAAGTCTTCACAACGTTTCCGGACAGTCGGATGAATTTTACAGGTACCACTTTAACGTAGTAGTGGTATACTTCCATACCTAAGTGGAAACCGAATTATATCAGATATTAGTGTAAGATATAAACAATTTATGAATTTAATAAAACGTTTTTTCCTGAATATCAGTAAATTTATTTCACACCCTCGTTAAACTTTGATTGCAAAAACCAAGTGAATTAGTCAGGCGATGGATGACTTCTCCGTTCATCTATACTCTCTATTTTCACTGTTAGGTTTATTTGTTTTTCCGTTCTTTCTGCTTCTGTTTTTCTTTTCTCTCGCTTATGTGCATTCCGCAACCTCAGCTGCATTTTTCTAAACTTACGGTTCTCTTATTTTCGAACTTCTGCATCTCCATCCAAATAATAGGATATATTCATTTCCCACGTCATTAAATCCTCGTTTTGTTCACCCTTGTCTCGAATTCCCATTAGCTCACACTTATTATTGTCTCATCTTCTCTTCCGTAGCTTCTGACTCCTTAACACATTACTTTCAAGTAACACTTTTCCTGGTTCACCTATCTTCCAGTCCCTGCATATATTATTTGTTCTGATTTCTGATATCAGCTACCTTAAATAACTGCTCTCCCTAAATTTGCAGTGTGACTTTTCCGCTTTCTTAAATTCAATTTACATACAGGTTTCCTTTTTGTTCTACTGTCTTCTTATATTCTACTTATACTTTTCTATTTTACTCTCTAATTCCTTGAAATACTCATTCCTCCACTTCCTCTATTGTACTGCCAAACTGCCTGCTCACACAATTTCGTTCATTTACTTTTCACATTCATCGCGAAAATCTTTCAAGAGTTTATTCACCATACAAATGATATGCAACATATTCTATCACTTAATTCATCTGTAGTAACTGTGCAGAATATCAGGTTATCATTTGTACATATCATTAAAACCTTATTCATCCTTTCTTCAACGTAAATTTACATTCCCATTAGTTTGCCTGTCTCTCTTTTTAACATATCATTACCATTCTTGCGCCTCCATTTCATCAACTCTAATTCCATTTAATTCGTTCCATTTCTCTCCTCCCCCGATTTTCGGCCCCTTTGTTTTTTTAGAATGAGCACTAATCAAACCACAAGCTCTTTAACGTTAAGTATAATACATTGCCGAAGACATAACTTACTGTTCGAAGAAATCTTTTCGTGACCTTCGAGTGCGTTTGCAAGGCCAGGTATCCGCGGACCAAAAGAAAACTTTTCTATCCGATGTGAAAAATTCACTTCTAAAAAAGTTACGGCTGCATGACATACGAGCAACATATAAGCAAACAGTTTTCCTGTCACGCAGGTCTTCATGTACTGTGAGAAATAGGGTTAAAATTAAACATGTATAAAAAAAGGAGAAAAAGACAAAGTAGGCAGTGCGAATCAGAGTACGTAAAACATGTTCACTGTCGTCACGAACTTTACGAAAAATACTTGCTTAAAACGAAAAGCATTTAATGCTTATCTTTTGAGGGTTCGCATATCCTCCAAATAAGCATATGAAATTTCTAAAATTCTGCATATTTTTTTCCTGAATATATTCCCCTGAACACGGATATGCTGTAGGCACGAACGTATAATGGGCCCAAGAATAAATAGGCGGTGATTTGAAATGCACACTTGGCAAACCAGGGTCATATGTAACTACGTCTGGCAAGTTTGTTCATGCGTTGGTAGTTATATAAAAAGCAGCATATACATTGCTCAATTAGATGTAGCGCAGAAGATGCGTGAATCTATTAAGCAACAGACTGTTACCGATGTTTCATTTCCTATCTCATATCTCACGGGCACCGTTCAAAATATGAATGGTGGTAGACAGTCATAACGGTACATGTTTTGTCCATGCAGTTGGTTTAATTGTTTCGTAATCCCTCAGTCCTTGTCAGTCCCAAGCTTGGATGAGAAAGGAAGAGGGCTAAGAACTGTGGCAAAATCTCCGTAGGCTCAGCCAACTGTCCCTCATAATACTGATGCTATTATGAGTGTCAAGGTCGTGCACATTCAACTGCAGCATGTGCCAACCCCTGGATTTCTCGATCCTTTGCTATGATAAACTGTGGAAGTATTCGGAATTGCACAAAGCTGCGAAAGCTTGCATTTTCGGTGACAATTTAGACTAATTCCTCGGTTTCACAAACTGAAGGCGCTTATCGCCATGCCACTTTTCAGCAACACCCGCGTCATTCTCCTACTAGAAACTTCGTTACATTCCACGTACGACGAGAAACTCCTGTCTGGAGTAGTTCGTTTGTAAACGTCTTGATCATCTCTCGGAAGACTCCAGTGTTTTGTTGTTTTGTATTTGTTCGTTAATCATATGTAAGCTTTTGCAACTTATCCCGTGCCTTACAGTTCACTTAAGTACATTTGACTGACTGACAGAAACTATCAGGACCATTAAATACTCGCAGAGCTCATAGTACCATTTGACTGTTGATGCAATCATAGGACTGGACGATTAGTGCCTCTCTGATGCACTGTTTGCGAATCTACTTTTCTGATGATGTCCGTGCAAAGTGTTGTTTGTCTTGAAAATGGTAAATGCAGTTTGGCTGAAACTTCGACAGTTCTTATAAAGACTTTACAATTTGTTTATTTCTTGTCTAGAACTATTCAAAGGTCACTTTAATAAACAAAAAATATAGCAAGAATTTCTATCTTTCTACAGGTAAATTAACTCGCACTGTAAACCATTTAAAGCCCTGGTAAGTACGCAACTGAATTTCACTATCGCGTGACGGCTGAAATGAGGTTCGATTCATCATGCAGAGTAAAAGAGCCATATCAGTCAATGAAAGTTACTTACCATAGAGTGGCTCAGTAAAAAGCATTCTAAAATTTGTGCGCAACAAACGGCATTCTATTCACTTACGGAAATCGTCATCCACAAAGCTGACGTGAATATGTTCTCCGATGGGCAATCTCACCAATTTCCCAGCCGATATGTGCAGATTGCCAGAAACTTTGTTCAACGGTATCTGACCATAAATTCGGCAGCCATCCTTTCTTGGCTGGAAATGCATTTGCTCACGCATGATTGTATCTTCATGCAAATTTTTCCATATTTCGCTGGCAATCACCTGTAAATCAGTGAGACTTCGGAACTTGGTTGGAGTGTGGGCCTCCTAAATGTATAAACAAAACCTCTAAATGTAACATAATAAAACGATTGTGTAGAAGCTATATAACATAATCGTGAAACATTCTGATTTAATTTCAATGCAAGACACGTATTACAAGTGATACTGTGAAAAGGTAAATAAAATTAGAAATGAAAATTAAATGGTGAAAACAAGAACAAAATTACCAAACATATTACAACAAAAGATTACGAAAAAATCTTACTGATAAAAACCAGTTTCAAATTCTCCTGAGTTTATATGAAAAATATAACGGCCACAGTTGACGAAGCCGAAGGTAAATACCAAACTTGATCCGGTCATACATTATTATCTGAAGCAACTCTGTCGTTAAAGCTTAATTCCTTTTGGCTTTTCATAATCATTTTAGACTACAAACAATTTAAAAGCAAGACTGCATAAAGCAGTTGTAATTATGCTTATGAAGGTTGAAACAAACCTCATATTTAGCTTACACACCGTTGACTCATGTGACAGAGGTCACTTTCGTCACATTTCTATAAACTTCTTTTCTTCTGATGTTCAGTGACGAGCAAAGCATTCTACTAAACAAAATTACGTATGATAACGTAACGCTGGTTTTGATCAAATAACATCGTGCTGCACCTGCATAAACGACCCTGGACATTCAGGGGGCGGCACCACATACCGTAAAATCTGGCTTTAAGAAAGTATGCGTATATTAACATGCTCCAATGCATGAACATAGTTCAAGTTTGTAAAACTCATATTCATGTGAAATGCCTCTGCTAATAAGAAACGATTCCTAAGAAAGAAAACGTTTCTGAGCAAATATACGCTTTTATAAATTTTACCGATATGTAGTAATACTCCACTCTTTTTGAAAATTCTCAATGCAACAGTGATCTTGAAAATTCGCCCTTTCGCAGTCAGCTGGTATGACAACGATGCCAAAGGCTTAAAGACGATGCAAACAATCAGCCAATTTATATTTTCTAAATATAGACATAACTCCGCCGTTGCCGGCCCCAAAATCAGA